TTGTGTGCTTCCTTGCTTTTTGAGGGGACGGAGATGATTAGAGTGGGAATATTAGAAATGTTGATTTTGCCCTACAAAGAACTGTCATTCTAACAGTTCCTGTGCCCACACTTGCCTCACCTGGGAGGCTCATACGTTTTGAGCGTGGCCCCCTGGACACCCGTTTGTGGTTCCGCTTTATCTATTTTCTCAACACTGTTGTTTTCATGGCAGTCATTGGATGAATCCCATGCTCATCTGTATCTGATAAACTTTCAGTTTGTCATTTCACAACCAGAGGCGGGGCACAGAGCAGCAGCATGCAATTGTTAAAAAAAAAAAAAAAATCTCAATTTGTTTAGCTTTCAAGCATATTTTTAGGCTTCTTCCTGTACCACCATATCATACCAACCTCCCTCTTTTAGACAAGCGAGGCTTTCTGAGAGCCCTTCATGCTGGAAAAAAACAAGAAAACATATGGATAAATATATAGGTCCCCCATCTCAGATTTAGACCTAGCCTCTTCCCCATCACTCCAAGTAAGTGGCTTTAACCTTCCTAGTTCTTTGACTGGACAGCCAGCCCAAGCTTCCAAATACTTTCTTACTTCTCCTCTGCTCTCCCAACTCAGTGCTGGATCTTCACAGTTTCAAGTCTGAATCACCTCGTATTATTTTTTCACATTGATCTGATTCTGCTAGCATTGAATTATCTACCCCTTAGTCTAGCTATTTTTCATTCTTGTCCTCCAGTGTCTACACTTTAGCTTTCACTGATATTCACAGATGATTAATAGAGATCTAGTTGAAGAAAAAATATACATATAAAGAGAGAAATATATGATTATATGTAATAGATATATAATTTTATATTTTTTATATATATACACACATACACATAAATCTGTACTGTCAACGAACTCCCTGTAGCTATGCAAGAAAGAATGACTACATAGCTTACATGCTTTTACAAGTGAATATCAGAGTTTTGAAATATTACATTTGAAAGGGTTATGAAAGATGATCTATTTCAATTCTCTCCAATTAAGCACAAGGAAAAGGAGACTGAATGTGGAGATATGTCCAAGGTGAAACAGCCAGATAGTCAATTAAGAGGCTGAATGTTCTCCTGCTAAGATCGGGAACAAGGCATGAATGTCCACTACCACCACTTCTGTGTAACATTATATTGACTGTCTTAGCCAGAGCAGCAAGGCAAGAGAAATAACTAAAAAGGGTTACAGTTAGAAAGAAAGAAGGAAACTGTCCCGATTCACAGACAACCAGATTGTATATGTGAACCGTGACAAACACTTCCAAGGAATCCACACAATAAATAATAAAATTAATAAAAGAATCTATAAAGCTATCAGGATATGTTACTACACACACACACCAGTTGCATTTCTATTTACCAACAAAAAGAAATGGAAAAATATATTTTTAAAATACCACATATTTTAAAACATAAAATAACAGAGAAAATTAACTTTTTTTTTTTTTGAGACAGAGTCTTACTCCATCACCGAGGCTGGAGTGCAGTAGCACCATCTTGGCTCACTGCAAACTGTCCCCTGGGTTCAAGTGATTCTCCTGCCTCAGACTCCCAAGTAACAGGAATGACAGGAGCACACCACCACACCAAGATAATTTTTGTATTTTTAGTAGAGACGGGGTCTCACCATGTTGGCCTGGCTGTTCTGGAACTCCTGACCTCAAATGATCGACCCGCCTCAGCCTGCCAAACTGCTGGGATTACAGGCTTGAGTTGCCATGTCTGACAGATATGTAAAACTTTTATACTGAAAGCTACAGAACATTGAAGACAGAATTTAAAGACCTGTAGAAATGAGAGATACATTGTTCATGAATCAGAAGAATCCATATTGGTAAGATATCATTTCTCCCGAGATTGAGCTACAGATTACTGCCATGCCATTCAAAATCTAGAAAGAGATTTTGGAGAAACTGACAATTTTAGGGCCAATAGGAAAAGAAAAGGACCTAGTATACCCAAGACAACACTGAAAAGAATAAAGTGTGAGGACTTACACTACTTTATTATAAACTTATTATAAACCTGTAACAATCTAGGTACTGTGGTATTGGCATAAAGAAAAACAAATAGATCAGTGGAACAGAATGAATGAATTCAGAAAGAAATCCATGCAATATATAGTCAGTTGATTTTATTTTTATTTTTATTTTACTTTAAGTTCTGGGACACATGTGCCATGGTGGTTTACTGCACATAACAACCTGTCATCTAGGTTTTAAGCCTCACATGCATTAGGCATTTGTCCTAATGCTATCCCTTCCCTTTTCCCCAATCCTGCAACAGGCCCCAGTGTGTGATGTTCCCCTCCCTGTGTCCATGTGTTCTCATTGTTCAATTCCCACTTATGAGTGAGAATATTCGTATTTGGTTTTCTTTTCCTGTGTTAGTTTGCTGAGAATGATGACTCACAGCTTCATCCATGTCTGTGCAAAGGACATGAACTCATTCTTTTTTATGGCTGCAGAGTATTCTGTAGTTTGCATGTGCCACATTTTCTTTATTCAGTCTATCATTGATGGGCTTTTGGGTTGGTTCCAAGTCTTTACTATTGTAAATAGTGCTGCCATCAACATACATGTGCATGTGTCTTTATAGTAGAATAATTTATAATCAGAGATAAAATTCCATGAAGGTTCAGTGTTTCTTCTTTTCAGCATTTTTCTGAAGTATCTCCAAAACAGAAATGTAGTCTGTTGCTGCATAAATAGTGGGCATAAGATTGGCAGCCTTCCTGAGACTTATTCATTGTCTCCATATGATCTTTCTGTGGGTAGCCCTAAAATAAATGTACTCTTCTTCCAAGCACGATCAAGTCAACCTAAATGATTCACTTTGAGCCTCACAGGCTTTGGTCTATAGGAACTGAACAGGTAAGTTAGAAGGAGTATCAGATAAACAAATTCAGAGGAAAAGTAGATTTGGAGGCCAGAAGTTAGTCCATTCCTTTTCTCTCTTTTGCTTCAATCATTTGTATTGCAGTTGCAACAAATATTGTCTAAGTGAAAAAAGAAAAGGAAGGGCATTGCAATAGTTAAAGAGAAATAATGAAAAGGGAGAATAAATACAAGGAAAAAAGGTGATTCAAGAAGCAAGTCAAAAACCATAGAATAGAGAAAAATCTAACATTTATTAATTATCTATTTTATTTATTAATGACTTAGCATTATTAATTACTTATCTTTTACAGTCTTAGTTGCTTTACATGAAATATCTTTATTCCTCAGAACACCTCTGATAAGGAAATATTGTCATTGCCCTTTTACTAATAATCCGAATCTCAATGAAGATCATCAGCTTGCTGTAGGTGACAAAAACGAAGTGGTAAAATGGAAAGTGTTTATTGCACAAAGTCCCTAGTCTTCCCTGTGCACAAAGCTTTCCTACAGTTAAAGAAGGGAACCATATGCATGATCCCAAGGCCATGAAAGTTATATCTCTGTTGGAATGAGTACATGAAAGACCTAAAATATGCATACTGACTGCAAATGCTACCGAGTGAAGAGGAGATTTTTTTTTATTGTGCTTCTAAAAACCTTGGCAATCATTCAAATTTATGACCTTCTCTGAGAATGAAGAATATTTGATGTGATATAAACAATTCAGTAATGGCCTTGATTACAATCTGCTACTAAGAAGCAAGTTCGACAATCACAATTGTACAGTGATGACATTGACAGTATGCATTTCCCACACCACCACACACTGTTAACCATGTCTCTCACCTGGAAAACAGACAAGTTGTGAACAGGGATTATAAAGCATCGCTCAAATAGATAGAACCTTCAGTGGATTTCTGAAGGGCAAAGATGTCTTGATAGGGTGGAGTTTACTTCCCAAAAGAAAAAGTGTTTCTGAAAGCAGATGGACCTTCATGTTCTATGAGAAATATCTACCTTCAATGGCCCTCTCTTTAAGCCATGTTGAGTAATAGAAAAGTTAATTAAACACTCATTCCCCTCTCTTTGGTGGGAACCATAGCAAGTACAACTTCATCTCATGCATATTATAAAACTCTCCTAAAATCTGAAGGAGAAACTACCAATATTATCCAGTATTTTTAACTTAATTTAAATTAACCAGCCTGACTTCATAACACTATTGGGAGAAGGTAAAGTTCCTCTTCCCCGTGACGGTGTAGATAGGAAACATGCTTATTTGTTGTTTGAATAACACTGCAATTAGACAAGACAAGCTACTGACTATAATTGGATTCATGGGACACTGCCCCCGGAGTTTTAGAATTTGTAATACTGTACAAATATATTTTTAACTTTCGTTTGCTGCATGAATTGGAGACTTTTCAAAAGCAACAAATAAATTGAACTACAGTGCCAACGGCTCGTTCTTTGGAGGATGTTTCTGCAACACAAACATCAGGACAACTATAACAATACGAAAGAAATAGCTGTCATGTATCTCCCAGCATGAGACACATGTCACCATTTTCCTGGGTTTGAGAAGGAAACTCTGGGCTTGTGTCTAAGTGTTCAAAGTCTCCGACAATTCGTGAATCTGTGGCTGCAGAAATCTGTACCTTGTTTTGCCTTTATTCACTGTCTTCCAGATTCTTTTGGACATATCTCTAGGAATGGCAGAAGAAACTGTGAACTTGGAAATCTGAACAGTACCTAAGTGTGAAGATGTTTACCAAATCAGAGGAAGGAAATCATTCCAATGGTACAGAGGTAAATAGATCAGTTAAAATGTGCTTTTGGAAAAAGAAAGAATACAAACTATTGTTTCTTTTCTCATTCTTTTATGATATTTATTAAATACCTCATCTTCCTACCCTCACATTGCCAGAAGAAAATCTTACAGCAAAAGTAATATTTTAAGGATATATCTGACTTCCTGCTTAAATTTTTCTTATTAGTGACATATTTCTTCAAACATATATTACTATCACTAACCCAGAGAAGCATTTAAGAACAGACCACAAGTTCATATAAGTAAAACATGCCAGATATGTAAAGGAGGGGGTTATCTTTTATATATGTGTGATGTTAATCTCGCAATGCATATATACAGATGAACATAACATTAAAAAAATGTTCCCAGCAAATTGGACATCTGTAACAGTATTTTTCCTCCTGGGATTTTCTCACTACCCCAAAGTTGAGGTCGTCGTATTTGTGGTGTGCTTGCTGATGTATCTGTCCACCTTGCTGGGCAATGTTATTCTGATCTCCATCAGCATCCTAGATTCCCGCCTGCACACCCCTATGTACCTCTTCCTCAGCAATCTCTCCTTTCTGGACATCTGGTACACCTCTTCTGCGCTCACTCCAATGCTGGCAAACTTTGTTTCAGGAAGAAACACCATTTCATTCACAGGATGTGCTACTCAGATGTACCTCTCCCTTGCCATGGGCTCCACTGAATGTGTGCTCCTGTCCATGATGGCATATGACCGGTATGTAGCCATCTGCAACCCCCTGAGATACCCTATCATCATGAATAGGAGGACATGTGTGCAGATTGCAGCTGGCTCCTGGGTGACAGGCTGTCTCACTGCCCTGGTAGAAACGATGTCTGTGCTGCCACTGTCTCTCTGTGGTAATAGTATCATCAATCATTTCACTTGTGAAATTCTGGCTGTCTTGAAATTGGTTTGTGTGGACACCTCCCTGGTGCAGTTAATCATGCTGGTGATCAGTGTACTTCTTCTTCCCATGCCAATGCTACTCATTTGTATCTCTTATGCATTTATCCTAGCCAATATCCTGAGAATCAGCTCAGTGGAGGGCCGAAGCAAAGCCTTTTCAACGTGCACAGCCCACCTGATGGTGGTAGTTTTGTTCTATGGGACAGCTCTCTCCATGTACTTGAAGCCCTCCACTGTAGATTCACAGGAAATAGATAAATTTATGGCTTTGGTATATGTTGGACTCACCCCCATGTTGAATCCTATCATCTATAGTCTACGGAACAAAGAGGTGAAAGTGGCCATGAAAAAATTGCTGATTAGAAACCCTTTTAATACTGCCTTCATTTCCATCCCCAAATGATACTGGAACAATCACATTCATATAAATAATCAACATTACCCAGAAAATTGCATAATAGTTTACTTAAACCAACCCTGGAAAATACTCATTTTCAATAGGAGTTTACTATTATGTTCTCTATTCTGATTTTTCTTTTTTCTTTTTTGAGATAGAGTTTTGCTCTTGTTGCCCAGGCTGGAGTGCAATGGTGCGATCTCGGCTCACCACAATCTCCGCCTCCAGGTTCAAATGATTCTCCTGCCTCAGCCTTCCTCGTAGCTAGGATTACAGGAATACGCCACCACTCCTAGCTAATTTTGCATTTTTAGTAGAAATGGGGTTTCTCCATGTTGGTCAGGCTGGTCTCAAACTCCCAACCTCAGGTGATCCACCAGCCTTGGCCTCCCAAAGTCAGGGATTACAGGTGTAAGCCACCATGCCTGGCCTATTCTGATTTTTCTCATAAGTAAAAGTTTTCATATTAATGAATCATTTATGCAGAATTAATTACGTTTCCAGGAAAGCAATTAGCATTTATTGAATATTTGTATAACACTAAAATTAGATAATTGCCTTTGTTTCATATTCACTTTCTATAGAACATCGGTGTCCAGCTGTGGCATAACCATATAATAAATATACCTAAATTGTAAAATTTGGAGCATAGTAAATTTTCAAATAATTTGCTCCAAATGATTCACAATTTCCCCTCAATTTAAAAATAAATATATATATTTTAATTAGTATGGATACAACTCAAAGTATACATACTTACACACACACACACACACACACACACACACACACTCCTAATAATTTGTAAAACAAAAACAGCATCAATTTTGGAACGCCTCCTAGTTTCCAACATGTTAAAATGGAAAAATCATGACTTTCGATGTAATAAAATATGAATGATTTTGTTTATTTGGAATGTATATGTGGGGGATGAGTAAATATCTGTGTGTGCAAATATATCATAACAATGGTTGGCATAATTGTAATCCTATGTGTGAGGTGGAATAGAGGTACAGTTGGGACATCCTGAAGTATCTATGGATATAAGATTAAAATGTTCTTATATTGTACCTTGTCTCAGTGAATTCGTCAACACACTCGCCTATCATGTTATTATTTTTCTTAAAGCATGCTGAATTGGCCAATTAAGGCTGAAGAGTAAAATGACATTGCAAGATAAATGATATATTAATGCAGATATGTATTGTAGAAACAGATTCATAAATATATCTGACATATGTGAGCAAAATCACACAAATTATAATTTTACCAATATTACATATTGATGTACTTTTCCTTGTCTTTTCCACACTCTCTGGAGCTATAGAATATTGAGGCCAATATGTACACATTAGTTCTTTATCAAGGAAGGTTCCTTGGATTTATGTGGGTGAAGGCTTTATCCTAGGGTGAAGGTACCTCTTGCTGCATACATATAACCTTCCTAAGCCTTAGGTTTAGGGAACATGATGCAATTACAGATAATTAGTACAAGAGGTCCCAGCCTGAGCAAGACAGAGCTTGCAAAAAATTACTCAGTTGTAGGTGAATGGATTAGGAATGGAACCACATGGAAGGAAAGAATTCAATGAGGAGGAACTGTGCTGGTGATCTTAACACAAGTGCCCTTAGTGTACATCTGAACCCTTTTCTTATTCAAGTATCAGATTCCCATTTCTATTAATTCAGAATCTCTCCAAAGGTAGGTACTGGAAATTTGTATTATGAATCAAAGCTATACCGTTATTTTTATTTTCATCCTTACTTAAACACTTCAAGCTCAGGCAGCAGTGACCACAGTATGATGCTGTTATTTGGCTGAAGAGGAGGAAGGGATGCTAAAACTGTTAACCCCTCAGTTTCTACACCAATTTTAGAAAGAAAGAAAAAAACACTAATTCCAGGAAATCACAAACATTGAGCACACATTAATTCATCTTATTTGTTTACATGGGTAGAGAAAAACTATAAAAATGATACTTAATTTAAAGTTTTATGTTTCATCAACTCCAGTGGGCATGCATTAGGTACATGATATCTCCTTCAAAGTCTTTATATATCAGTGTTTTTAAGGGATGCAATGAACTAAATTAGGAATTGCACTGCAGGACAGACCAACAAGCTGTCCAGAAGCAAAACAACAAAATGGCCTTATCTTCCTGGTCGGACCCCCACAATCCTAGAAAGAGTCCTCGGATGAGGTACGTCTGCAAGAGTCATCTTGTCCAAACAACCAGAACCAAGATGGAGTTAACTTCTACATAACACAAGTATGTTTTCGTTGCTGTCCTCCCAAGGATGGAACTATGTATGTAGCCCTGAACTGTGTCCTAATTACATATTCATTATTCTATGTTCCATGATGAGCAGCCCCCACTGCTACATTTTAAAAATATTATAATTGATAAACAAGTAATAATTGTATCGATTTACGGGATAAAATGTGTTATTTTTCTCATGTACACAAAGTGGGATGATATATTATTTTTTTCATTTCAAATTTTATCTTGGATTCAGGTAGTATATACGCAGGTTTGTTATGTGGGTATGTTGCATGATGCTGAGGTTTGGGATACAAATGATCCTGTCATCCAGATAATGAACATATTACCCAACAGTTAAGTTTTTCGTCCCTCACACCCATACTTCACTCCTCTATTATCCCTCATGTCTACTGGTGCCACAATTACCTGATTTTTAGCTTTCACTTATAAGTGAGAACATGTGATATTTTGTTTCTGTTCCCACATTAAGTGGCTTAGGATAGTGGCCGCTAGCTGCATCCATGTTGCAGCAAAAGACATGAAAAAAAAATTTTTTTTAAACCATTTTAGTTACATATAAAACTAACATAATAATTTTTTAATTTATATTAACTGTACCATAGTAGTCACTAATCCATTCATTCAAATAATGTATTTTGAATATTTATTATATACCAGGTACTATGCTTACAATAAAATATATTTCCATAAAAAAAGGTATGATTTTGTTGTTTTTTATGGCTGCCTAGTATTCCATGGTATATATGTACCATGTTTTCTTTATCTAATCTACCATAGAACCTAGGATGGGCACCTAGGATAATTCCATGTCTTTGCTATTGTGAATAGTCTTGTGATGAACATATGAGTGCATGCATCTTTTTAGTAGAAAGATTTATCTTCTTTTGGATATACACCCATTACTGGGATTGGGGAATCAAACGGTAGTTCTGTTCTAAGTTCTTTAGGAAATCTCCAAACTGCTTTTCACAATGGATGAACCAATTTACATTCCCACCGACAATGTATAAGCATTCCCCTTATAGGCATTTTCATTTCTCTGCAGCCTGGCCAACATCTGCTGTTCTTTGGCTTTTTAACAGTAGCCATTCTGACTGGTACAAGATGGTATCTCACTGATTTTGACTTGCATTTCTCTTGTGATTAGTGATGTTAAGCATTTTTTCATATGCTTGTTGGCCACATGTATGTCTTCCTTTGAGAAGTATCTCTCCATGTCTCTTGGTTACTTTTTAATGGGGTTATTTGGTTTTTGCTTGTTGAATTGTTTAAGTTCCTTACAGATTCTAGATAGATCTTTGTCAAATGCATAGTGTGCAAATATTTTCTCTCATTTTGTAAGTTGTCTGTTTACTCTGTTGATAGTTTCTTTTGTTGTGTAGAAGCTCTTTGATTTAATTAGGTCCCACTTAATCCATTTTTCTTTTGTTCCAATTGCTTTTGAGGACTTGGACACAAATTCCTTCGCAAGGCCAATGTCCAGAATGGTGTTTGCTAGGTTTTATTCAAGGATTCTTATAGTTTGAGGTCTTAACATTTAAATCTTTAATCCATCTTGAGTAAATTCTTGTGTATGGTGAAAAGTAAGGATCCAGTTTCATTCTTCTGCATGTAGCTCACCACCTATCCCAGCACTATTTATTGAATGGGGACTCCTTTCCCCATTGTCTGTTTTTGTCAACTTTGTCAAAGATTAGATTACTGTAGGTCTGTGGATTCATTCCTGGGTTCTCTATTCTGTTCCACTGATCTATGTGTCTGTTTTTGTACCAGTACCATGCTGTTTGGTTATGGTGGCCTTATTGTATAGTTTTTAGAGTTGGATAATGTGATGACTCCAGCCTTGTTCTTTTTGCTTAAGATTGCCTTGGATATTCAGGCTTTTTTGTTCGATATGAATTTTAGCATAATTTTTCCAATTCCATGAAAAATGACATTGGAAGTTTGATAGGAATGGCACTGAATCTGTAGATTGCTTTAAGCAGTACAGACATTTTCAATATTGATTCTTCCAATCCATGAGCATGAATTTTTTTTTCATTTATTTGTGTCATTTATGATTTCACTCAGCAGTGTTTTGTAGTTCTCCTTGCAGAGATCTTTCATCACTTTGGTTAGATGTATTCCTAGGTATTTTATTTTTTGTGTGGCTGTTGTAAATGGGATTGGGTTCCTAATTTGCCTTTTGGCTTGAATGTCATTGGTGTACAAAATGCTACTAATTTTTGCACACTGATATTGTACTGAAACTTTACTGAAGTTGTTTATCAGTTCCAGGACGCTTTTAGCAGAAATTTGGGGTTTTCTAGGTATAGACTCATGTAGTCAACAAAGAGAGATATTTTGAATTCTTTTCCTACTTGGAAATTTCATTTTCCAAATAGGAAATGAAATGAAATTTTATTTCATTTTATTTCATTCTCTTGTCTGCTTGCTCTGGTTAAGACTTTCAGTAATATTTGAATAGGAGTGGTGAGAGTAAACATCACTATCTTCTTCCAGTTCTCAAGGTGAATGCTTCCAGCTTTTGCCCATTCAGTATGATGCTGGCTATGGGTTTGTCATAGAAGGTTCTTATTATTTTGAGGTGTGTCCCTTTGATGCCTAGTTTGTTAAGGGTGTTTATTATGAAGAGATGCTGGATTTTATCAAAGGCTCTGTCTATATCTATTGAGATGATTATATGGTTTTTGTTTTTAAGTGTACTTATGTGGTGAATCATATTTATTGATCTGTATATGTTGAAACAACCTTACATCCCAGGAATGAAGCCTATTTGATTGTGGTGAATTAACTTTTTGATATATGCTGGATTCAATCTGCTACTGTTTTATTGA